ACGCGCTTATATATCATATAGTTGAACTACCAGGGAAACTTGCCTGTGTCGTCTGTGCTGACTGCATGACACAACATTAGAAGTAGATAGTAGCCTATCATGTAAATGCGATTACACACTAGCTTTTTCTTGAACTTTTAATGCCGCTTATAAAATCGAGCTCAAGCTTGACTAGCAACGTCAAGACAGCAAAGACGATATCACACTATAACCATTCGTCTGTCTCTTAATACCGTGTTTGCATTTAACAACATTTGCCTGCTCCCTTAACATCATATAGTGCTCTTTATACAATTTTGCCACAGAGGCAGGGCATTTTTTAAGTATAATAAGTTTAATAACTACTGCATGGGGCATTTATCCCATGCAGTAGGCCCTTTGCTTGCCCCAGTATAGTGAAGCAATATTTTCAGATGAGCTGGGCTCTTACGATCATTAGTAAAAGGTCATCCTTGTTGAAAAAGCTGCAGCCTGCTTTCTCATATCCTCTCACATTCTCGACATTCCATCGTATACTTGGCGTAAAGCATGATATTCACGTATACGCGCATAAACTGTGTGGGGAATATATTAACTATGGTGGGGAAAAGGCCCTCATTGAAAGCAGGGTGCACATTTTCTGTAACCACAGCCAAATGCTGGAACTAGGGGCCTACTTACCTCTTAAATTACGAATTACCTGTTGTTCCATATACATTTTTACAAATTTTAAGAAAGAATTATACCGGAAACTTAAGACCAATCAACTTAACGATAAGGTTTTTAATCCATTTTTAGATAATCTTTTATAGACACTATATTATATATTTACATATAGCATACCCTATAATTGTTTTGTTGTTGTTTATTATTTTATATGTACATAGCATATCCTGAGGGCCACAAGTTTATTAGTGTAAAACTATATGTGTTAGCCTCGTTAAATAAAGTTTAAAAATGAAATGAAAATCATTTCATTTACTCAAGGTGAGTAACGTAACGTGTCACTGTGAACGCATTTTCTGTACTCATGTTTTGAGTAAATTTTACGCAAGGATTTTTTGCAGTCTATTATAATAATGCAACAGGCCAACAGCATAGTGTGGTCGAAACACGGTTTTTGAACAAATTCCTAGGGTAAAAAAATTTAGTAGATGCAAATAAAATTAAATATATCCACCACATTGTTTTGAATGACACGACTCTTTAAATTTGTGACTCCGAACCATGCAGTGAATCCGAAATGTTTGATTCCCTGTGGTCAAGACGTTTCCAACGCAACATACCCGTTTCGCCATTGGCTAACCTTCGTAACTATAGGACCTATAGATGTTTTCAGTGGAAAAGGTTTATATTGTGTCAGATAAATATTTGTACAAAGTTTCAAACTTTGTACAAATATTTAACTGACACAATATAAACCTTTTCCACTGAAAACAACTATAGTTACGAAGGTTAGTGAATGCCTTCGCCACCGCGGCAAAGATTAATTCGCGTATATATGACTTAATATGTTTGTGTATTAGTGTTCGCTTGACTGATTAATATACTTGTGCATGGGACCGCCCCTTTTTAGATATTACAAAGTAAAGGCCATGATTTTGGTTTTATTTATATTTTTTTATATACGACAAGTTTAATATGTCAAATAAGCTAACACACCACACGAAACTGATAATAGTAATAATATTAGATTTTTGCTTGCATGTTAAAAGTTCTATAAATTTCCACTGGTATATCGTCTAAACTTTAGCCTGCGAGCAGGCTCTCTGGGGAAAGAGAGCCTGCAAGGATCCCTTTGATGATTCGGTGCATGCGTCCAATATTTGGACGCAGTGCTCTGATTGGTTGATAACTGATTCATATGAAGTGATTGACAAGCTTCCATAAACTTGCACTTCCCGTTTGTAAAACCGAGCAACGCAAAGCTTCGGAATTGCGGCAATGTAGAGATAAAAGTGTCATGTATTTTGATCCTGGTTGACTTTTTAATGTAAATTAATATAGTATTCATATAAAGACGAATACTAAAAGCTTGCATGCTTTATTGTGTCCTTGGCTTGTCTGACTCCTAAGCTAAGAATAATTCTTGAGAAAGACTGCACAAATTCGCAAACCGAAACCTAGGGACAAGGCATTATATCGCTTCTCTTTTATGAAACAATATTGGGAATTCTGATAATATTCAGTGCATATTGTGTGTATTAAGCTTGTTTTACAATGTTATACTGACTATTTAATATTTATAAGTATGCGGCGTTAAAATGTACAGTAATTTACTCGTCACTTTGTTTACAATAATTATCACATGCATGTTTACTGTAATTCCACCTTCTGTCGCAAAATTTGAACTATATTAAACATATTAAATTATTTCCAATGTCCATGATATATCATATATGTCTATGTCTCACCAAAGCCATAAATTTCAGTAAGTTATATTATTAATTTATTACTATACTGGATATATATCTTTATTGCCGATTGCAGCATGAAGCAATTCCAAACAACTGAATTAGTT